TTTCCGAGTGAATTTTCTACTACATACTTCACATTTGAATGGCCGCACGTTTCCATGCGTAAATATGTGTTTTCTCAGATTCCCGGATTCTTTGAATGTTTTACTGCACAGGTGACATTTAAATGGTCGCTCGTTTACGTGCATCAAAATGTGTCTCTTCAGAACTCCGGATTCTTTGAATGCCATACTGCACATGTGACATTTAAATGGTCGTTCGCTTCCGTGCAACAATTCGTGTCTCTTCAGATTGCAGGACCATTTGAATGTTTTATTGCACACGTGACACTTGAATGGTCGTTCGCCTTCGTGCGTCAATTTGTGTTTCTTTAGTTCGCCGGACCGTTTGAATGTTTTATTGCACAAGTAACATTCGAATGGTCGCACATTTTCGTGCATCATTTGGTGGATCTTCATATCGTCGGACCTTTGTAATGTTTTATTGCATACCGTTCATATGTAATTTTTTTCACCGGTATGTATCATCTTATGGCGTTTCAGAATGCCTGAATATCCGAATTGCTTATCGCATACTTCACATTTGTATCGTTTTTCTTTCGCTCTACTTTTATCACCCACAGTCCTTATTTCGTCGTCATATCTTATTGCTGCTTGTACAGTCTCATCGCCTTCATCTGATACCTGAAATAACCCAAAATGATTTGTTCATATATTTGATTATTATTTTTCTGTGAATTTTGAGCAGCAACAATCAGAAGCATTGTGCAAATATCATTGTTGAATTTTTAAATGGCAGCAATTCATTTCTATATTTTGAAAAATAGCTCGGTGAATTGTAATAATAATTCGAAAAAATTATCAGTTGTGCTTGTGACAGTTGATTTGAGACAGAATGATTAACAAATCGATGAAACAAAAATAGTTCAGTAATTCAATTTGCAAACTTTTGCTTTTCACTTTGATCCTTGCTGTAGGATATGATCGTAAAACAATTGAGTATTAAGAACGGGGAAATAGATTAGAAATAAAAAGTTTAATTTTCCTTCACAGAAGGCAGCTGTTTTTGTCCTTACCTGGGATTAAAAATTTTGTGAATATTTAATTTCTATACTGAAAGCGATATCTTATTCACATACCGTTACTTGTGCGATGTACAATGGCAGCACGAGCATCATCAAATAATACGATATAAACATAATCGTGAAATGGCAGAATGAGGAATTCGAAGTTTTTTCGAAAAATATTTTTAGCACATAACCAACTTAACGGAATGATATTTAACTGAGAGGACAGTTTTTATGCATTCCGGTAAGCCGTATGATCTATGACCAAATATAATCATAAAACCTCTGTCTTTTGGTATAATAATTTTCTCTCCACTTTAAAATTTTTTGTTAGTTACGCTGGATAATAATAGTTTCATGCAAATGCGATTATAACTGGCAGCATTGTTCAGAATTGTCATCAAATCCTTTCAATTCGTAATGGAATGAAATCATTCGAGGAGAATACACAATAAATTAATATGTAATCATCACCAATAACGGATGAAGCATTTTTGTTGAAAAAGTTTGAAGTATGGAATTATTTAAAATAGTTGAATTTCAAATTAATTGTCATTAAAAATTTCAAGTAACCTTTGGACAGATCCTCGCCACCAACAAACAGATTATCAAAGGATTCAATAACCCAATGCTTGAAATGTTATCGATTAAAAGATATCTATCTTTTAATTCCCAATGATATACTCTATGCAAAAATATTTTCGACAACTTTTCTTCATACCAGAAAAGTATAAAACATTTAAATATCGAATTTCATGAGCATATTTTTTCTAAATAAAATGTTGAGATGATAATCTTCGTGAACATTTCAACATACGTTATGGAAAATTTTGCATCAGCGAATATCACTCATTTTTACAGCTTGACTGAGAGATTTAAGAGCAAGAGAAAGTCGGTTTGTCCATAATTTCTGATAAAAGTTAACTCCCCACTTTCTTTGTTAAATTCTTATCACTTACTTCTTATCCGTTTAACTTTAGAAATGTGAAAAATAATAAAATCACAGAACAGAGGAAGTGAATCATTTGAAGGACCAAAAATATAAAACAGACTGTAATGAAATATTTCATTGCTGAAATTTAAAAAGCCTTAATTCGTCTAAAGCTTTACATTTTGTTTAAATTGGAATATTTATGATTTAAAAAATATGATAAATTAATAAAAGAAAAATATTCAAAACAATCTTTTCCAATAAAAGCTTTTAGGTTTTGCTTCGGTCGTACAAAATTCAATGATAATAAAAATCTTTTGATCGATAATATTTCAAGCATTGGGTTATTGAATCCTTTGAAAATCTGTTTGCTGGTGGTGAAGATTTGTTCAAAGAATACCTGAAACTCTTAATGGCAATTAATTTAAATGCTAATAATTTTAAATAATTCATACTTTAGGCTTTTTTAATAAAAATGCTTCATCGTTTCTTTGTGATGTTTGCATATTTAATTATTGCACATTCTCTTCGAATGATTTCATTCTATTCGGAGTTGAAGTAATTTGATGACAATTCTGAACAATGCTGCCAGTTATAATCACATTTACATGAAACTATTATTATTTACTGTAACTAACGAAAAATTTTAGAGTGGAGTGAAAATTAATATGCGAAAAGACTGGAGCTTTGTGATTACATTTGGTCATAGATCATACGGCTTCCCGGAATGCATAAAAGCGATCCTTCCAGTTAGTACGACAAATATCATTAGTACGACAAATATCACTTCATTAGATTGGTTGTCTGCTAAAAAAATTATTCGAAAAGACTGACGATTTCCACATCCATTTTCGACTTCTCGATCATGTATCTATCATATTATTTGATAGTGCTTGTTTTGCCATTGTACATCGCACAAGTAACGGTATGTGAATAAGATATCGCTTTCAGTATAGAAATTAAATATTCACAAAATTTTTAATCTCAGCTAAGGACAAAAACAGCTGCTTTCTGTGAAGGAAAATTAAACTTTTTATTTCTAATCTATTTCCCTGTTCTTAATACTCAATTGTTTTACGATCATATCCTATAGCAAAAATCAAAGCAAAAAGCAAAAGTTTGCAAATTGAATCACCGAACTATTTTTGTTACATCGATCTGTTAATCCCTCTCTTTCAAATCAACTGTCACAATATAGCACAACTGACAATTTTTTCGAATTATTATTACAATTCACCGAGCTATTTTTCAAAATATAGAAATGAATTGCTGCCATTTAAAGATTCAACAATGATATCTGCACAATGCCTCTGATTGTTGCTGCTCAAAATTCATAGGAAAATAATAATCAAATAATTAACATATCATTTTGGGTTATTTCAGGTATCAAATGAAGGCGATGAGACAGTACAAGCAGCAATAAGATATGACGACGAAATAAGGACTGTGGGTGATGACAGTAGAGCGAAGGAAAAACGATACAAATGTGAAGTATGCGATAAGCAATTCGGATATTCAGGCACTCTGAAACGCCATAAGATGATACATACCGGTGAAAAAAATTACATATGTACGGTATGCAATAAAACATTACAAAGGTCCTACGATATGAAGATCCACCAAATGACGCACGAAAACGTGCGACCATTCAAATGTTACGTGTGCAATAAAACATTCAAATGGTCCAGCAATATGAAGAGACACCAAGTGGCGCACGGAAACGAACGACCATTTAAATGTTACGTGTGCAATAAAACATTCAAAAGTTCCGGCAATCTGAAGAGACACCAATTGACGCATGGAAACGAACGACCATTTAAATGTCACATGTGCTGTAAAGCATTCAAAAAATCCGGGGTTCTGAAGAGACACATTTTGACACACGAAAGCGAGGGACCATTTAAATGTCACATGTGCTGTAAAGCATTCAAAAAATCCTGGAATCTAAGGAAACACATATTTACGCATGGAAACGTGCGGCCATTCAAATGTGAAGTATGTAGTGGAAAATTCACTCGGAAAGCTGATTTGAATAGACACGTGAAAATTCATAAAAGTTCGGATGAAAAGCTATATTCCATAGCAAGCTCCTTAACGATATCGATAGCGGATGATATCATTGACACAGAAATATCAATAAGGGAAATAATGAGATTCGCAGGAATATAAATTATTGTATTGTGTTGGCATAAATTATATTTGTACTGTTTTTTTATCATTTGTGCTTTGTTCACCATTTCTTGATTGAATGTCAAAGGTGACTGATGAAATTGTACGTAAAATTTTGATGCAATTCATAATTCATTATTCATCAGCAATCATAATTTATCATAACTCAATAATTCATCAGTAATCAAGGATAAATTTGTAATATTAGTAATCGATTGAAAATGATAAATTAGCAAATTTAAAATATCATTAAACTTATCCATGATTCATATGAATATAAAACTATTAGTTTTAAGACCGGAAACTATTTTGTCTTCTCTTTCATTATCATCTGCTATGGGAAAAAATTCATCAACTTACAGTTTCTATAATGAGTTGAGCAAACCATCTATCGTTTAGGTAATAGATTTCATTGAACTATTTGAATTGCATAATTTGAAATAAAGTATTCCACGGATATGAGAAAAACGAATTTGATTTCATAGGCAACCATTTTCCGTAAAATAACTGTATGGATAAATTTCAGATTTTTGTTATCATTTATATCACTTCTTCCCTACTCTTTCTTCATATCTATTTATTTATAGCATAGAATATGATCTTAAAGTTTGAAATTTTTTTTTTGAAAAGTTTCTGAGTTTTAAACCAAGTTCGAAAATTTTTAAATATAATTTATTTTCTGGAAGATTCAGTAATATAGAAGTTGTGGAGAGAGAAAATTCTCAATATCTCTTCATTCCAGGTGAGGAATTTGTAAAGTTCATGTTGAAAGGGAGAATTTATGAAGCAGAATTTGGAAATAAGAAAAGGAAAATTTTATTGGTTATGGAAAATAAAAGCCTCTGACAATTAACAGAATTTTATTAGTGACAACTTTTTTCGTTCATCTTAATTTCGACAACGTACTTCGATAAACTCTTACAAGAGCAATGTATGTCACAGATCATTACAGGTCCTAATTTGTACATCATATTAATTCTACTTATTGTCTTTCGCAAAGAATAAATGTTGCCTCCAATGTTGTGATCACAGTTCAATATGTATTATTGACAATTCGTCTTCAACCACTCTTACGGATGTTGTGGACGATCTTCAAAAAGGTGATCACCTAATAAAATGCACATTCCAAAATATGTTAGCCAACAGAAAATACTTGCAAACATCAATAGTGTTCGTCAAAAAATTGATTGAAATGTTTAAGTGAAGATGAAAGGTAGGCTCTAACATTTCAGCATTTTTTATAGAAAAAATACGCCGATGATTTTCGATATTTAAATGTTGTTATACTTTCTTGGTGGGAGGAAAAATTGCCGAAAGTACTTTTGCATTGTATTTGTGCTATTTACACGCTGTTATTTACATCCAATATATCCTTTTGGATGCCAAAATTTAATGATCAATGAATACCATTAATTTTTATGGTTTTAATTAAATTTTAAATTTTAGAAAGATTTGAACTGAATTCTAAAGCAAATTTTGCATCAATGAATATCACTCATTTTTTACGACTTGAATTGGTAGATTTAAAGCAAAAATTTTGATTTTGGTAATTAAAAATTTTGAAATTTGTTTAGTGAAATGGAAAAATATTGTTGCTTTCTTTATGTTAACAGCCAATGTTCAAATTTTCAAAATTTTATATACAATTTCATAAATCACTTTATACATTCAGTCAGGAAATAGCACGCAAAGAACAAATGGCAAGAAAACAGTACAAATGTAACTTAAGCCAACGCAATACAATAATTTATAATCTTGCGAATGTAATTATTTTCCTTATAAATATTTCTGTGTCAATGATATCATCTGCTATCGATATCATTAAGGAGCTTGCTATGGAATATAGCTTTTCATCCGAACTTCTACGCATTTTCACGTGTCTATTCAAATCAGCTTTCCGAGTGAATTTTCTGCTACATACTTTACATTCGAATGGCCGCACTTTTTCATGCGTCAATGTGTGTTTCTTCAGATTCCCGGAATCTTTGAATGTTTTACTGCACGTAAGATATTTGAATGGTCGTTCGCTTCCGTGCGTCATTTGGTGTTTCTTTAGTTCGCCGGACCGTTTGAATGTTTTGTTGCACAAGTAACATTTGAATGGTCGTTCGTTTCCGTGCATCAATTGGTGGCTCTTCAGATCGTCGGATCTTTGAATACTTTATTGCATACCTTACATATGTAATTTTTTTCACCGGTATGTATCATCTTATGGCGTTTCAGAGTGCCTGAATATCCGAATTGCTTATCGCATACTTCACATTTGTACCGTTTTTGGTTTGCTTTACTGTCATTAACCGTAATCTTTATTTCTCCGTCGTTCATTATTGCTGCTTGTATTGTCTCATCGCCTTCATTTGATACCTAAAATAACCAAAAATGATTTGTTTATTATAGGTTATTGTTTTCCTGTGATTTCTGAGGACCAAAATCAGAGGCACTATGCAGATATCATTGTAAACTCTTTGAGTGGCACAATTTACTTCTATATTTAAAAATGCTAGGTGAATTGCAACAATAATTTGGAAAAAGTATCAGCTGTGCTATGTTGTGACAGTTGATTTGAGACAGAAGGATTAACAGGTCGATGCAATAAAAATCATTTGGCGATTCAATGCACAAACTTTTTGTGTTTCGCTTTTGGTATTTGCGCAGGAAATGATCGCAAAATAGCGAATAATTGGAAGTAACAGAGAAATAGATATGAATTTTTTCTTCATATGAAGCAGCTAGTTTTGTCCTCAGCTAAGATTAAAATTTTATGAATATTTAATTTCTATATTTAAAGGAAATATCTTATTCACATACCGTTATTTGAGCGACATATAACGGCAAAACAAGCAGTACTAACAGTATGACAAATACATGATCGAGAAGTGGCAGAATGTGGAACTCGTCTAAGCCTTTTCAAAAAATATTTTTAGCACACAACCAGCTTAACGAAGTGATATTTGTTGCATTTGCAGAGAGGACCGTTTTTATGCATTCCGGGAAGCTGTATGATCTACGACCAAATATGATCTTAAAACCTCAGTCTTTTCGCATAATAGTTTTCACTCCACTACACTTTAAAATTTTTTTTTAGTTACTCTGAGTAATAATAGCATCATACAAATGTTATCATAACTGGCAGCATTGTTCAGAATTGTCATCAAATCTTTTCAATCCTAAAATTCTTTCAATTCTTAAAAATTCTAATAGCAAACATTTCGCATGTTGATAATTTCAAAATAGTTTGAACTTCAAATTATTTCAATAGCAACGCTTTATCGTTTTTTGATGATTACACATTACATTATTGTGAATATTCTTCGAATGATTTCATTCTATTACGAATTGAAATGATTTGGTTGCAATTCTGAACAATGCTGCCAGTTATAACCACATTTGCATGAAACTACTCTTATTCATTGTAACTAACAAAAAATTTTAGAGTGGAATCAAAATTATGCCAAAAGACTGATGTTTTATGATTATATTTGGTCATAGATCATACGGCTTACCGGAATGCATAAAAACGGTCTTCTCTGTTAAATACTATTTCATTAAGTTGTTGTGTGCTAAAAATATTTTTCGAAAAGAATTCGATTATTTCCACATCTCATCACTTCTGGATCATGTATTTGTCATGCTATTTCGTATTGTTTGTTTTGCCGTTGCACGTCGCGCAAATAACGGTATATGAATAAGATATTGCTTCTCAATATAAAAATAAATATTTAAAAAACTTAGCAAAGGACAAAAATAGCTGCTTCGTATGAAGAAAAATTAAATTAAAATTAAATCTTTGATATCTATTTCTCTGTCACTTCTAAATAATCGGTGTTTTGCGGCCATTTCCTGCGCAGCCAAAAGCGAAATACAAAAAGTTTGCGCATTGAATCGCCAAATCATTTTTATTGCATCGACCTCTTAATCCTTTTATTTCAATTCAACAGCCACGATACAGCACAACTGATACCATTTTGGGTTATTTCAGGTATCAAATGAAGGCGATGAGGCAATAAAAGCAGCGATAAGAAATGGTGATAAAATAAGGAATATGGCTGATGACCGGAAAGTAAACGAAAAGTGGTACAAATGTGAAGTATGCGATAAGCAATTCAGATGTTCAAGCAATTTGAAACACCATAAGGTGGTACATACCGGTGAAAGAAATTACGTATGTAAGGTATGCAATAAAGCGTTCAAAAGATCCGGCAATCTGAAGGACCACGAATTGATGCACGGAAACGAACGACCATTCAAATGTTACGTGTGCAATAAAACATTCAGACGTTCCAGCGAACTGAAGAGACACCAAATGACGCACGGGAACGAACGACCATTCGGATTTTACGTGTGCAGTGAAACATTCAGAGATTCCAGCGATCTAAAGAGACACATATTGATGTACGGAAACGAACGACCATTCGAATGTAAAGTATGTGGCAAGAACTTCACTCAGAAAGGTAATTTGAATAGACATATGAAAATGCATAAAAGTTCGAATGAAAAGCTATATTCCATAGCAAGCTCCTTAATGATATCGATAGCAGATGATATCATTGACACAGAAATATTAATAAGGGAAATAATTACATTCGCAGGACTATAAATTATTGTATTGTATTGACTTAAGTTATATTTGTACTGTTTCTTTGCTATTTGTTCTATGCCGGCTATTTCCTGATTGGATGTAAAAAGTGATTGATAAAATTGTACATAAAATTTTGAAAATTTGAATATTGGCTGCTAGCATCAAGAAGTCTTCTTGTAATTTACAAGATGTTCAACAGATGTGACAGATACCAATGATTACCGTTGTAGTTTGCGATTAATGCGTAATTAATTCACATACATCATACTGCTACACGTTCGCTTTAATTAATAAATAAGTGTTGTTTACGCAACTTAAACGAATGGCCATCATTATTTTTAAATGTATTAATGTTACTAATGAAAAGTAGTCTGGATTCGGAAACTGTTAAAACATTCGAGCTTCGATTATTAATAAAAGCAATCTTGCAACAAATTTTTAAGACAAATTTTATTTTGTTATTTAATGACAGGAATAACAGTAACATACCAGCAAACATATCGGATAATGCCAATACTTCAAAAAGTTCAAACAACAGAATTATCAAAAAATTTTTAAACTATAGGATAATAAAACATTCGAATCAAAATTTCCTAAAAAAAGGCTATGATACTAATATATTGATCAATTATAAGAGTTTAAATTCCTCAATTGAAAACTTGAAAAGGCTTTATAAAAAAAATTCAGCAACCACTATTTCATCTAACTTTCCAAGTAATTAACTCTAATGTAATCAGCTCCAACAATCTTCTTAAGAAAATATAAAGAATTAAATCGAACTAATATCATATATTAAATTAAACGGGTCTGGAAAATTAAACCTGAAACTATCCTAAAATAACAATGTCAAATCAAAGTAGATAATCAATTTTAAAGTAAAATTTTGCTAACTAAACTACAATGCTGTAATCCTTTTAAACTGTTCCTCCATTTCGGTTTGAATTTCTTGTGGCAAGTCTGGTCCGACCTGAAAAACGAAGATGGTTAGAAATTCAGCACAAAATGAGATTAATACTCTCACATAAGACCCGAAAAATTGAAAGAGAAAAAGAATTAGGGATGCTTCAGAAGAAAAAGGACATAACAAATTTTCAACTAATGACTTGAACAAAAGGCATTTTAAAAAAGAACAAAATATTTTTCGTTGTTTTTCTCTGCAAAAATTGAAAGAGAGTAACCAACTACTGATCTATTGACAAGTTTGCTCAGTACCTCGTCTTGCGTTATAAAATAGCAAAAGAAAAGTAAATCTATTTGCAATCTCATACGCACAAATTCAGCATATATAAACCTTATCATTTCATCTGCTGCGAAAGTGTAAAATGGTAGACAAAGTAAAAACATCTGAGAAAAAAGTGTAAAAATTGAAATGAAGGATTACTCGAAACAATGAAGCACAGAACTGAAAACAATGAAATCTCACCTGTTCTTTCATAAATTTCCTGGTCTCCCGAATATCCTCCTCCCAATACTGCTTCGGAATGCTTAATAATTCTTTTATGTTTACATCACGAAGGCCTTCAAGATTCAACGAACTTTCCTTGGGTACGATACCAATCGCACTTTTTTGTCCAATCGACTCATCACCATCCAGGCGTCTTATTATCCAATCAATTACTCTAATATTTTCGCCATATCCTGGCCACAGGAAGTTACCATTTGCATCACGACGGAACCAATTAACATGGAAAATTTTTGGAACCTATAAAAAAATTTTGAAAAATATTATGATTTAATCTGATTACGGGAATTGTACTAGATCTGAAGGATGGCATGTTAGATCATGATAAACCAGAATCATGCAGTAATTTCCAGAGTTCAGCAATAAAAAAGTGATAAATAGGAATGATAAATCATTTAGATCCTGTTTTATGCATACATTCCATTTTTAATGTTCCGAACTCGCGAAACTAAAAAATCCACAGAAAAATGGTCATGTTAATTCAGGTTAGCTTTTGTTGTAATAATACTTTCGGATTTTTCTATATGCTTTAAACGTCGGAAATCCAAGATAACCTTATAAAAGAATTACTCGAAATACTTTATATTCCAGAAAATTGTTCTAAATTCTTCGTTTTTCAATTTATGCTATACGGATTACCCATAAATGAGTCGAATTGTCTCAAATCCTTTGTTTATTTTTGCTTGCTTTATGTCAATAGGATATAATAAGGTGCTTTGTTCCTCACTACTTGCAAATGCTGGACTTTATCACAGGACGTTCTTTGTCTTCATAGCTCTTGGTATGATTACAAATGTTAAAAGGGCTATTTGATCGCTCGGTTACCATCGTTTTGTCTATCTATGTTGAAACGATTCTTTGTTTGCTATCAAGTGATCTCTTAATATCACTTTCGTATAACCATGACTGTCCGTTTTACTGCGAATAGTTCTAAATACCGGCTATCTTGAAAACAACATATAAATGCTTAATTACTAACGGAGTCCTAACAGAGTAAAAACTTTAGTACTAATACAGTAAAAAATTTACAGTATTAAACATTTTTAATGACAACCTTATGAGTGCCATTATTGAGATTCAGCCAATGTTGAAGATAATTGCCAAAATTATAACCCATAAAAGGTCGCATCGCCATCGGATCATGCATCACTATTTTACCTTTAAATTCAGCTGCAGCTGTTGCTTCAGACTTCAGGCATGCACCTACAAAAACTCCATGCTGCCATGAAAATGACTCAAATACCAGCGGCACACCTTCCGGCCTGTAATTCACATTCTTCATGAGATTGTTAGAAAAAAGCGGTTTGACCTATATTTCTTTTTAGAATGTATAACTCTTTCAAACCAAGTGTCACCCAAAAAAAGGAAACCAAATTTTAATTCATCATCTCTTCTTAATTATTTCTAACCAATAATAGAACTCAAAAATCAGCAATTAATTTTAAAAAATTTAGAACTATCTTCTTATGCAACTCCTACAAACTGTACAATTAATATTTTACATGAGAGCATGTTAGTGCAATCTTTCTGATTTCACTACCTATTCCCTTTTTAGCTTTTATTATAAATGAAGGGATAAAATAGCTACGTGGAAAACTTCTATATTTCTCACTCTTTCTGGCTTAAAGCTTTGCGAAGGGCTCACATACCAGATCTAATTCCGTCAAGTTCCAGCTAAATACTACGATTAGATTTTCATATTCTATTATAAACTCTCATACCAACCTTCTTCCGCCGAAAATGAATGCCTCAATTGGTACCCCACCAGGATCTTCCCATTTTGGATGAATAATTGGACACTGACTGGCAGGACAGGTAAATCGAGAATTAGCATGTGCAGCTTGACCTTCGTCACCAATATGCCATTTGTTGCCTAGCCAGTTAATTATATCAACTTTTGGATTCTGGAAATGAACGAGCAGCAGTTAAGACATTTCATGCAACGATAATACTATACCCATTATTTCTATTCTTCCATTCGCAGAAAACTTCTAGGCAAGTGTGAAAAAATCCAGAACTTTTTTCACAAAAATTTAAGGAAAATATATTCTGATCTAAATAAATTATGTTACATTATAAACAAACCTCGATTTCTTTCTCCAATCCTTCCCAAAAATATTTCCCATCAGCAGTTTCAGCAACGTTTGTGAAAATGCTGTTTTTTTGAAACGATGCCATCGCCATCGGATTAGATTTATTCGATGTTCCGGGTGCAACACCAAAAAAGCCCGCTTCTGGATTTATTCCGTACAATTTACCGTTATTACCAAACTTCATCCATGCTATATCATCACCTGAATAAATCAGATAAAAAGATCCGGGATTATTATTTTTATGAAAGTCTTGAAATAACCGCAAAAAGACAAAGAAAGAAACACAAAACGAGATTCCTTATATTTCTTATAGAAAGAGAGTTTTAATTAATTTAAGTCAAACCGATGCATCGCACTTTCCAACCGGGAAGAGTTGGCGTCAACATTGCAAGATTGGTTTTACCGCAAGCTGAAGGGAAAGCAGCAGCAAGAAAGCGTTCTTTACCATTCGGCGGCGTTACTCCTAAAAATTCATTTTCAGAGAGTACCTTTTTGAGTTCCTCTATAAAATGTGGCTTCGAAATACACATAAGAGTTGCTCATAATCATCTAAACATAACATTTAAAATACACAGAAGTAGACTTAAATTTACCCATGATAAGCATATGTTCTGCCATCCAACCTTCCTGTCTAGCTATATTTGAAGCAATCCTTAATGCAAAGCATTTCTTTCCAAGCAATGAATTACCCCCATAACCAGAGCCAAAAGACCAAATTTCACGCTGTGCTGGAAGGTGTGCTACGATTGTATTTTCTGGATTACATGCCCAATTGTTTACTAACTTTTCTGAAAAAAAAAAAAACGAAATTCTAGGTCTTCAATTCCAAACAATTTAGAAACAGTGAAATTAGATGTGCTGGTGGTAATCACATGATAAAATTATCCGTTTCAAGCGAAAATTATTAAGGATAGCTTATTTTACTATAAATATTTGAAATATTTTATTTCATTATATTTTCAGCTGATTGTCTAAATTAATATTTAATATTTTATGAATAATATCATAAATCCAAGTAAAAAAAATTGTCCGGTAGTTCGATCAAATGCAAGAATTGTAAAATTTATCACTCCTTTCTCCTTAAGTGAAATTGAGCTACATTTAGCAAACTATAAAGTGAAGAATCGAGGTAAAGGTACCTTTAACTGGTTCCGGAACACCAACAGAATGAATACATTTCACAAAATTGTTATCACCTAATGTTTCCCATACTTTTGGCGTAACACGAGTCATAATGCGTGTGCAAAGAACAACATAACTGGAATCGGTTATCTAAACGGAAGTGGAATATGGAACAACAAATAATAAAAATAATGAGAGTAATCTCCTAATGAGATGTGTATTTTGCAGAAGTCGAACCAATTTATATGTAGTGTAGTTACTTAATCCAAAACCTTTTGCGATATAAGTGAAAGAATTTTTTGAAGCACGCAACAAGGAAGAAATGATCTCATCAAATCTTATAAAATAAGAAAATTTCACAAATTTTAAAAACCTGTATTCCAATTTTCGAAATTGGTCCACCAACTGGGCCCATCGAAAATGGAATCACATACATTGTCCGTCCTGAAATAAAATACCAATAATTCATTTTTCTGAATAAGAGATTTGAAAAAAGTGTAAAAATTTTTAACTTCTTCAAAAATTAATTATTCTTTCACATACCATTCATGCAACCAGGAAATCGTGCATTTTTTTCACTCTCAAACTGCTCAGGTGACATCCAATTACCCATAATCGGTTTTACACCTTCAGCCGTACGACATACTGTATCAAATTTTTCCGGTGTTACCATCCATGTTTTACTTTCTACACGAGCAACATCCTGAAAAAAAACTCTTCTTCAAAATTAAAAGTATGATGATTTTTCTTTCAGAAAATATTAAATCATGAACGAATCATCTAATAAAACAAAGACTGACATCTTAGGAATAAAGAATCTTCATTTAACTTAAAAGTTCTACAAACAAACTATCTGCAAATCCGAATTCAGGCTTCACCAGAGTATTCTTGGACAAAGCTAAAAACTTACTCTCGGATCCGTTCTGCAAATATAGTTATTCTCATAAGCCCTCAACTTCTTTAGCATTCCACTGTTAACCATTTGTCGAATAAGTTGATCAGCTTCTTCCTTTGAACCATCGCAAATATGCACTTCTTTAGGTTTCATCAACTTCGCACTCTCTTCGATAAATTTTCGAGCCTTATCAGACATCACTCCATGATATCTCTCAAAATTCTTACCATTAAATATTTTACTCCAGAATTTTATTAGGAACAAAAACTTTTACTTTAAGAGTTTATTGTTAAGTATTGCCCCCAAAATGTTAGTCATCATTTTTTTTGTGCTTTCAATTATTACTGCTTTGTTTTCGCTATTATCATGGCACTATTATCTAAACATAATAGAGCTATCTGTTAAAGTTTCAAGACTCTTGCGCGTGAAGCTTAATTCTTCCCATAAACAATGCATATAAAGATGTTCCACCCTTTCTCGGATATCCATTTAAAGCCTGATAGAATCACAGAGAACATTATAATTTAAAAGCTATCATCTAAAAATTAAGTAACTGTACGTCGTAAATGAGCTAAGGATAAAATGAATATGATAAAGTAAGAAAATAAGGAGATAAAATGTAATACGCATTCAAAAAGATTTTCCATAATCAGCGATTGAGGATTTGTTGAATAGCACGAAAACTGCTGCACAAACGGAATCGCTGTTGCCCTTACATTATGGAATTGCTTACAGCAATTGATTCCAAGCATTTGAGATAAGGAAACTTTCCGCAAAATTTTAACAGTATGCTTATTCATACTAGGACCGAGCATTTGTAATGCTGCCTGTAATCAGGATAAAACAAAATAAGTTTAATTATGCAACAAAATAGATTCAAAAAGTGTAGAGAGTGATCATCATGCTTAATGCAATTTATTGATTTGTAGGTTTAACAAGAATACTTCCTCACATGATGCTTTAAATTTCAGTATCAAAACTATCTTAACTTATTTAAAGCATTCATCAACTAATAGCTCTTCTCCAATTATTTCAACCTCGACTTACCGTTCTTTTGTACAGCACATATGCTGGGAGTAGACAGACCGTATGAATAACCTTCTATGAGATTCTCGCAAGTAGGATAAGAGCAATTGAACGGTTTTGTTCAAACTACTAGTTGATGAAGCCACCTGTTTGTCGCATACCAAAATTAAATTTTTCAAATTCTTTATAATATGGGAACAGCAACAGATGGCCAAATGCTTTAAAATTTTTCAGTTAATTGTGATGCTTACCAAAAGGTAGGATTAGAACTAAGTGCTATATTTATAGCAAACGATTGCGTTATGAGGAAAATTCAATTCACACCGATAACTTTCAAAACACCACCACTAAGAGGTTCATCTTGATAATCAATTTCGATATACTATTTAGAAGTGATTTTATCTTGCTTAACCAAAATATCATCCAGACTTATCATCCATCACTTTTTCTGACCAAAGATAATTATTTTCAATGGATAAGTATTTTTAAAGCCTAATCTAGAAAAAATTAAAATTAATTAAAAATAAATTATCTAGAAAAAATTAATTAAATCAAAAAATTAATTTTCATTTCCATCTATTAATTAAATATCTATTAAATAAAAATTAATTAAATATTTAATATATCTAGAAAAAATTAATTAAATCAAAAACTGATTTCAAACCATCCTAATACTATATTATCTAGGCTAGCTGATATTATTTATTTATCCGATCATGTAATATCCTCATGAATAATTCGAAATTTTTTTTGGATAAATACATTTTAGTACATATAAATATTAATGTGCTACGTAAAGATCACAACAAATTGTATAATCTTCAGTAACTTTAGTAGCTTAATTTCATCCAATAGTAATAATCTAATAATCTCTATCTCTAATAATAATCTCTATCCTCCTCAAAGAATTTGAAATCTGCCAAAAAATTTCAACAAAATTTATTCCATAAATTATTAATAAGTAATTGCAAATTGCGCACAAACCTATCCGGTCATTGTAGAAAATGTTACTCTCAATCTTTGCTGAAATTTAGAGCTTACACTATCTCAACACTCTTTTAATATTTTTTACATCATTGTCTCTCATGATTTACATCACTCTTTTGCATCTCTTCAGATACATAATCTTTTATTTCCAATGATGAATTTTCCTAACTTACTGCACATTCTACTAATATAGTTAATTTTATTTAACTTTATTACCGGTATGATTTCAATTAAATCACACATATGTTACAACGTATAAATACCAATCAATGGCAAATGTCGAAGAGAATATATGGTAGCAATATTTTGTATCTATTCGTTACTCTTATTTATCTTGTATACTTGTTACTATCTCATTTAATTTTTGAATGCTATTTGAATATTGCTGAATGGATAGATCAATCTTATTTTGAATATTGTTAGATAGATCAATTTCAGACATCATTCATATAAAATTCATTCAGAAAAGCAATTCCGTATTATGTTTATGTAAAGCGACGACTCACTCAAATGTATGAAACTTTAAAATATGGAACAAAATAAAATAATGTAGTTTTTATTTGTCAAGAAGAAATGGTAGTAAAAATTACATATTTTTAACAAAAAAGAAAAAGAAAGAAAGAAACGTTGAAACAAAACGATACTTCCTTCAAATAATTTCTTTTATAAAATTTAAATTTTGCAAAAAATTTTGGGATTAAAACAAAAACATAGTGAGGGAAGAATCGGTGTGAATATTCGGAATAAATTTTGCAAATAGGAAGAATATGGATGCGAAAAGCAGATACAATATTTTCGAAATAAATTCAATTTCTTTCCCTTATTAACTTTTCTCGAAAACGGACAATACAGGAGAAAAGCTAGTAAATTGTTTGTTTGCTTGCTGGCATTATTACGTTATAGTGTTCATCAACAATATACTAAAATTCATAGAGTAAATGATAAAATCTCGCAGAAAGTGGTTAGAAGTTTGAGGTTTAAAAATTATGAAGTCGTATTTCATTGTAGTTGCATTTTTTACGTCGATAAATGTATCTTAATTCATTTAGATAACCGGGAGATGATAAGATCGTGTTTGAGAAGCTGGAAGCATGAAAATAAGTATAACAAAAAGACCAAAAAGAAGAAATTTACATGAATATAATGGACAGCAACCCTTGAAAACGAAAATAATGGGCAAAAAAGAGAAATGATATGAAGCTCTAATAGAGGAGGCCGAAGATTAGACCAACATTCTTTAGAGTAATTTCAAAGCAACTGACTTCTTTATTAATACATTTGAAGTAACAAAAGAAAATTAGCTTTTCTTTTGTATCCAAAAATCGCATAAGCAATGCAAAATAATTTTAACAAATAATTTGCATGGATAATGATTTTTAAAGATAAACAAAAGAAAAGAAGAAAATCAACGAGAAAAAGGGCCATCAGCAGATAGTAATCGAGAGGCTTCATGCTAACATTGTGACTCATGTTTCACTTCAATCTTTTCAACTGTCATGTCTGGATTCATATTAGTCGCTTCCAGAATTGCTTGGCTCAGTTCCTGCAAACATGTTCCTCATTTTCATCATTGGTCTCTTAACAAACTTAAGGAATTAATGAAACTATAATTTTTTTAAACCAAAAATGCTGGCCCAATAGAAATTACGGTTTTCGCATATTAAAATAATGAAGATAATATTATTCCTTTCAAAAATGAAGAACGTAATTGATAATAATCCATCTTTCATTCTTTTTTTTTTTTGTTTAACAGTCTCCAAAAATTAAAGCGATTAAACTGGACTCTTTTTATCATAATAACTTTTAGAACAAAATTGAATTAACTTATTAATTTCGAATCGAAAAGTCGGGTTCAGAAGTCCGAAATTATTTTAAAAAAGCAATTATGGTGTAGCTTGGCTGATATAATTTTTACTCCAAAGTTATTCATCTATCAGAAAATAATTTGGAAATCAGCCGGAGCATGTTAAAATAATGATATTCATTAACAAATTCAAGTGAACTTACAGCATCATGATCAATATCATCACAAGAATGAATGGTCACACGATGTTCAACGTGGGTCTCGACAGTACCATTCTTCTCAGTCTTATACTGGAAATATTGAAATGAAATCAGGAAAAGGAAAGGAGTGATTCTTCAAATTATGAAATAAACAATGTAAATACGAAATATGTGGACAGCTAATTTATTGAACATTAAGCACTTCTACTCTACACATTGAACATTAAGCATCTCTAACTCTACACAATTTCTCCTGCTGATAAACAATTGCAGTTATTTATATAGCAAGCGCTATGAAGAATTCTAGCTTTCTTATTCAAAAAAATTGTCTAGTAAGTTGAATGAAACGCATGATGTTTCTCAATAAAATAGCTTTTTGGAATATTAACTGAAAATGCTAAAAAAAAAAGAATTTTTCCCCAAAATAAAATAGAAAGACTTTTACAGTTATCGTTTCTATGGTACGATTGCCTTGTGTAACAGTACGACTGGAAACTAATTCTCCTTGAATGTCCGAATAATCATTCCCATTAATTTCGTCGAGGCCACTTGTTGGTTCATGAGTCACTTTATCAACCATTGTTTCAGCAACTGGTCTTTGAAAGCTTACCACACTCTTATTAAGTGACTCCTCCGTTATCTCAATTACATTTAGCTCCTGTAGAAAAACAAACCATTAAAGTCTAAGATTTTGCTTTCTTCAAGTTTATTATATAACGGCTTCAGATTTGCATCCGCAGAACATTTTGGTTATCAGCAAAGATTATCGGTAGGGGTGAAAATTTTATGTGGTGGTCGACAGGCGATGTGGACCGAAACAATCTTATGATCGAAACAACGAACATAAGATGATGGACCATTTGGTCAAAAAAGTGACCAACAGAAATAACCCTTTATTCGTATGGAGAAATCAATAATTTACATGATGCATAAAACCCACTTTAATAGATATAGTAAGAGAGTTCTGAAATAATCTAGCAAACGAGCAAATAAACGCGAATCGCCTGCAACCATCATAAAAAAATGGATTTACTAAAAAGTACGATAACGAAAAACATTACAGAATCTCCATTTTGACCCGAAGCATTAGAAGTTTGGTACGTATGTTGCTGAACTGTATGTGAAGTCATAATCCTTTTTCTGCAACAATAACGCATTTAAGTACACAGATTAGTGAGTGTAGAATTATTTCTTGAAAAAACCGTATAAGAAACAATATGGCGAAATCTGGAAAATTTTCTAACATCAGGAAAATAAAAAAATTCCAGGGTTACATAATACTATCAAAACTGTCACTATCAAAATGTTGTCCTAACATTTTGTAGAACAAAATATAGCACCTTCCCGCATCATGACTATATAAATCGGACAGTCGTATTTGGCATTCTAAAGTACCCTTTATGTATTGTTTCAGAAAAGATTTTTGAAGATTTTAAAGAATAGAAAGCCTTTCGGAACTAGAACAAACTTCGTAATATTTCCTTGATGATCAATACTGGTAACCACTTCCTCAGGTCCATTTATTGTTTCCTGCCATGATTTAATACTTGTATGATGAAGAGAACCGTCCTGAAACAAATAAAATGAGTGTATGCAGGAAAATTAGGTAATTCAAAATCCACTTTTTTTTATAAACGTGATGTCCACAATTTATCTAACATTCACCTACTGTATTCGTCAATAATCAAAAGTACAGTTTTTTTAATTTTTAACAAAATTTTAAAAGTCAAAAGCTCAATTTTTATGACGTAATATTTTTTCGAGTTTATGCTACGTTTACTTCACACTTCCCATTTCGTAGCAATCCTAATAATTTTTTGTGTCGCATATTTTTGACACTCTTTTTCTATTAGATGGTAACACATTACCTTATTATATTAAGAATAAGAAGGGAAGGCAACTATTAGCCAGTTTATAGAAGTGGCAGAAGCATTTAAATGAACTAGAAGAATTAACAATATTAGAACTCTGATAATTATTATAAGAGAGGAACATATGAGATATTCGAACAATCGATTTAATCAGAAAAGGATTAATATAACAATGTAACGACTTATAGATAGATTTTCATATCTGACGTACAACTTCATTATTCACAACATTTATGAAGCATTAAATTACCTAACAATTTTTTACAGAAAAAGTTTCCTTTCAAAAAAACTTCATAATTTTGTACATCATAAAATATTATACTTGATGAAAACAACTGAAAGATTAAAATAAGGTCTGAAGTAGAAATAAAAAAGAATACGTTCTGCGATTCAACTAATCAAACAATAAGAGAATAAAATCATTTAAGAAAGATAATTTTTGGCAGATTTCGAACCGACCCATTATTATTTCACTTTTAAATTTAAAATAACGGTTGATTTTATGTAAAAAACATTTCATAAAGATAAAAAGGAAAAGGCAAAATAAATTAATTTAAACAAAGAGCAATGAAAGGATCAGATGGATCAATGGTTAGCAACTTACAACATCAGCCAAATGTGCGGCTGGTACAGGTTCGACATTCATTGGATCATACATTTCTTTTTTGAGCTCTTTCAGCAGCATGCGCTGGTCGTCCAATTTTGCTTCATCGGAAGGCAATCCACCAGTCACTTCTGGCTTATTTTCCCTTTTCTATAATATATTTATTGCAGAGCGGAAAAAAGACATATAAATTGTAAAGAAATAAGATGAATATTTTAGTACTTTAATTATTCATCAAATTTCATACAAAGCCAAAGCTACCCGAAACAAAAGATTTCAAGTTTTACACATTCCAAGTAACAATAGGTATTAATATGACGATTCATGCTTCATGAATAGCAGCTCATTCATATACCTACTTTTAAAAATCAACAAGAAAATATCTTTGCCTGGTTGAAAGAGGAATCATAGTGTGACGAAACGTCGCTTTCAGCATTGGAACACTCGTTTTCACGTGGTGATGCACCTATCTTCGATTTCTTTTCTTTCTTTAACTTCTTTCTAATGTCTGATGGTGGCGATGTTTTGGTAATCACCTAAAACAATAACAGATCATGTCATCGGAACTCACTGCATTTTACGTGTTTTGTATTTCACTACCAACTTTGGTGCTTCAAAACGCTTGGCAACAAAAGTTACTTATTCAATAAAAACTTTATAAACCTGGCTGATTTTTTTAATAATTTCTAAATCTCGTAACAAATGAAACAAACACAACAAAAAACATAAGCACAACAAACATAACACAAACATCCAAAGACCAATGCTGATTAAATGGCTACATAATTCTTGCCTAAAATTTTGATTTTTGAAATTTTTATTTTAGTCATGTAAAAAAAATGAAATGATATCTTCAACTGATGAATGGCTCAAATTAACTATGTAGACTTCAATCATATGATACTAAAAACTATAAATCAAAAAAACATACTACAGGAAATGAAATGAGCACCAGTCTAAGAATCTGGCCGAAAAAGAAAATGTGCAATATAGAAAACAATAATTTATGACTCCAAAAATTCTACGCTTTAATTCACACAAAAATTCTAAAGGAAAAAAGCAAAGAGTCGTGCATCAATTTTGTATTATATCACACACCTGCGTTACTTGTCGATTGATTTGCTCCACAAAACCACCTGGATTTTTGGAGTCCGTATCATGAGCCACTAGAACTGGAATATCTGGCGGTGTTTGGGTAAATATGTACGGCTCATGTGATGTTTCACCACCACTGATTCCACTTCCATGTAATAACCTTCCGGATCCGACAATTTCCGGCGCCTTTTCCATCAAAGCTCGTTCCCCCATAACTGCAGATTGTTCTTGTTTCCAACTTTCGTTCTGATCTTCCGATGAAACGAACATATCGCTGCACTCTTCCTTGTCTTTCAAGCGACGATTAAACCGTTGCTTCAATTCACTTTCTTTTTGTTCTCCAGCTTTATTAATAATCTCAGTAATTATTGAATCATCTTTGCCTCCCAATTTGACCTGTTTTATTAAATCATCTGCAACTGTTTTGGCAGCCACTTCCGTATCATCAAGCAAGATCGGAAAATTGGGAACATATGAGAAATCATAAACTGGAATAAAACCTTGTCTTGTCTGCCATTCAACTTTGTTAACATTTGACAAAGGTTTGTCCGAATCAAGAATAACTTTTGTTCGCGGAATGTTATATTTCAATTCATTCGTCGGTGATATCGTTCCCACCACTCCTGATTCGGCTGCATAAATATTTTTCTCTGTCAATTTTTTCTGTTTCTGGTGCTCGTCTTTATCGTTACTTTTCAATTTGCTTCCACGCCATAATGAAGAGAAAAAACTACCTCTGGTACTTTTACCACTATCTTTTTTGTTTTCCTTCAAGATAATACCACCTTCAGTCGACTTCTTTACTTTCAATTTTTCGCATGGCATCAATTTGTCAGCACTATCGGGGAAATCTGCTTCCTTCCTCTCCGTAATCATTACTTCACCAGTTTCTAAAACTTCAGTTATATGTGCATCTTTTTCAGGCTCATATTTGGTACTGCTATGAACTGCAATTTTTGGTTTCAAATCACATGGTGGACCACGAAGATGAAATCCTTTCACCACGAGGGTCGATTTTTTGCTGATATCATCATCTGATGCATTTGTATGCTTTGCTTTCAGATCTGAATCTTGCTGCAAATCGTTACCAGCATTTCTCATTTTATGCTTAATCTTAATTCTTGCTATATACCCAATACCGTCACTCTTGTCGCGCTTTTTCAGAGTACTTCCAATTGAATCATTAACATTTTCCGGTAAACGAGTACTATTCCTATCCACTAAATGCGATTTCTCTGTGCTGCCTAATTTAACGCTTTCATTATTCTTTGGTAATGTATGAGATGAGATTTCATTCATCGCTACTGCCGCATTTTCCTGCCTAAAAATTCCAGGACTACCATTCAAATTCAATGTTGCGCCATCGGAAAAGTCAGTATTACGTTCAAGATAGATGATAGCATTCTTTTTCGTTTCCATATTTGCTTTGCTGTTTTGACTTGGCAGTGATACTGGACTATGATTTAACGACCCTTCTTTCATATCTACAGAACGAGTTAATTCACTCTCATCCTTGTTGATTACATAAATAATCGGTTCCTTTTTGGCTTTTGTAGTTAATTGAACATTTGTTTTCTCACGGGATGAATCGAAATTAAATGTGTGATTGAGAGGTTCCTCACTGTTATTCATATCAGCAATTTCCGAATTTAGCTTGTTTCCTTTGTCTGTTGATCTCCAAAAATGTAACAAGTTAAACTTCCCATGTTTGCCATTATCTTTACCTGAAGCTGTGGAAGGCTCGTTCCTGACATAGAGATTTGCACTCATTTTTTTATTTTCGCTTTTCACATGCAAATTATTTCTCGGTTCCTCTACAGAATTCTTTACTAACACTGTTGAAATTATCTGCGGAGATGATGATGTTGCTTGACTTGCAATAAAATCAGATGGAAGTTCCAGTTGTTGTTGAATAAGATGAGGCTTCGGTGAAGCCTCCAATTTGTCTTTCTTATCATCTGAAAAGCCTCCTTTTTCAGCATGAACCGCTTTACGCCAAAATGTAAAAATTCCTTTGCGTATTGGTGATTCAGTTATAACATCAGTTGTATCACGCTCATTATTAGAAGTAACATATAGTATGGCTTTCTTCTTTCGTTCTTCATGTTTCTTCGAGATAAAAGCGCTTGAACTTGAAGAACTGCTATTACTACTGAAACTAGAATTTGAACTTGATTCAGTGCTGCTATCATGAAATCTTGTCTTCTTCTGGGAAATTCCACTATGATATGCTGCTGTACATTCCCGGAGAGGTGTGAATGATAATTCCTTTGCATACTGCAAGCAACTCAATGGTCCATCATAAGGAACACTAATAAGATTATATGTCTCGGGTTTCACGAAAGATTTCTCTACAATTTCAATATCACCAGAAACTGTACGATATTTGAAAGGATGCTTTTTAGGTTTTCTTCTCGGAATTTTGTAAGCAATCTTTGCTGAGTACATGGTTCCTTGATCTTTATTTTTCGTCAAGAAAGCTTCACTATTATTCTTTTCTTCTTCATGATGCTCTGCGTCAAAATTATTCTCGTTCAGATACAAAACAGCAGTGCTTTTAGCTCCCAAAATACCAGGTTTCTTTTCATTCTGAATGTCTTCAGCATTCTTTCGTTTGTCTATTTTGCGCGACTTCACATAAGTGTTACCATGATGATATACAGCGGAATACTTATGAATTGGCGCAAAATGTAATTCTTTTGCAAAATTTGTGATCTCCAAAGGACCTTCATAAGGTGTACATTCAAGTTTATAACTTTCAGGATTGATATTTTCTTTCCCGACAAATTCCACGGTACCTTTATGTTTTGCTCTCTTAAATGTTCTATAATTACGTGATACGTTTTGTATTTGATTCTGAATTTCCATTGAAAGATGTAAAGGCTGAAATGAAATTTCATTAACTCGAGATAAATTCGCTGAAGGAGGTGTATTATCTAGAATATGTACACTGCATGACTGCTCGGGTAATTCTGCTTTTTTAGACTTTTCTACCGACTTTCCAATACCTGATACACTGAATATCGGTCGAATCGTATGCTCATTTTTTGATTCATCGGCTTTTTTGAGAAAAGTTCCTTTTTTCGTATTACTACTGTGACCCTCGTCAAAATGCAATACAGCTTTCATTTTCTGATGGGCACCTTCACTTTTGACATTCTGCGTGGATTTTTGCATTTTAGAATCGACTGTGCGGTCAGGTTTCATCTGATCGAGATATTCCTTTTCTTTCATGTTTTGTGTCATATATTTTCTTCTGATTTCCTCGTTGACTGGCCTTTTTTCAACATCACCACCATTAGTTAAATCACTTTTGTCAGCTCCAGATATATCAAGAATTGCTGTCCACTTCTTTCCTTTATCGGTTTGCATCTCTTCATCTGCTGATGCTTCACTTGATGTAGCCTTTTGTTGCTCTTTTCGAATCAAAAATTTCCGATGTTTTCTATCTTTAACGACCGACATACCGGAATGATAAACTGTGACATATTCACGAATTGGTAAAGATGGAAGCTCTTTTTCACGTTTAATATTATGTAATAGTTCACCGTAAGAGGTTGACGGCATTCCATATGCTCCAGGCCTAACACGGCAACTATCTGAGGTGCCGACGAAAAGATGACAAGTTTGCTTCAACTGAGTGTAATCATAACCTTCCTCCTTTGTATCGTTGCCAAAACTTTTATTGGCTTTGATCCCACTTGTTACAGGCTTACTTTCTTTTAAGTATGCTGTCCTCTCAGGTTCTCTTTCAGATGATTCCGCATTGTAATAACTTGTTTGCACGACCTGTTTTTCGTAACGTGGTTGCTTGACATGAATAAGGGCAATTTTCTTAGTTTTATTTTCTTGATCATCCACAAATCGGGACTCATCAACCATATTCTTCTCTTTAATTTCTGCATTCTTGTCTTTCAGTAACTTTGTAGGAGATTTTTCGGGTTTTTTATAACAACGAAGCCAATCCTGTACGTTGTCTTTTTCATCGATATCTATTCGGCTTGGATCTCTGGCATCGTAAAATCCTTGATTATAAACGTAAGCATCAGCCCCTAGTGGTTCCATACTACGTCCAGTATGCAAAATAGATTCTTTCTCATTTGTCAGATATTTTTCCTTATTCACCATTTGTACGATATTTTTCCTTGGTTTATCTGCAACATCATCTGTTTTCAAATATTTCTCATGTTCAAATACTTTGAAATCTTTGTTTCTGCTAGTCGAACGCAAGAAATCAGGACGGCTGATATCATCAACGTGACGTAGTGGATACGTTTCAATATCTTCTTCCTTTATCAGAATGTCAGTTTCTGCACCATTTTGGTGGAATATTTTTCCCGTTGATCCTAATTTTGGTCTGTGAACTAGCACGAAATCATCATCTGGTTCAACTGGTGGTTCACGAAATCGTCTGCTGTGACTTCCAGTCACTTCTTCTTCATAATGTCCAGGATGATAAACAACTGCCTTATCTTTAACTATGAAAAACTCCGTATTCTTTCCCCTTCGCAGTGCAGATATACTTGGTCTGCTATCAGATAAATTATCCGATACGTAACCATGAAAACCACCATCCGAAAATTCATGCGTAGTAAGACCAGCATCTCGCGTAATTTTTATGGAACGTGGAGAAACATGAGGAGATAAAGGCCGCTCGAAATACTCAGTAATAGGACTAGTACTAGTAACAGTAGTAGTAGGAGGAGTAATAGTTGTGGTAATGGCAGCGCTATTAGTAGCAGTTGTTGCTGTTGTAACAGAAGTAGTAAAAATAACAGAAGAATGGATACTATGAAGCGGTTTTCCTGAAGTATTATTGGTGTTACCCACCTCTGCACCGTTTTGCATTGCGTTATTTTCTCTCTTCTGCGTAGCTTCCGTGACATGTTTTGAATATATCTTTTCCGGTGAAATCATCTGCTGAAAGTAATCACTGTGAAGTCATGCAAAATACATATCTACAAACATCAATAAATAATGTTAATAGTTAAATAAATTCTTCGTTAGTAATGAAAAAATATAAATCTATTTCTCCTTGGTCATGACTTCGCAGCTCAACAACTAACTTACTCAATGAATGGATATAAAAAATCACTCCAACGTATAGTTCACACATTAAAGTTTCATACAAAAATCCAAATTTAATTAGCATATTATTTGGAAAAGATTATACATGCAAAAAGAGAACAGTAGGAAAAAGTTATTAATATTTTATGGCAAAAAAGGAAGGTCTCTTCCTGGCGACCACATTTTCAACTGAAATAACTTACACTGCTATCCCATTCTAATTCCCTACCGGTTCCACTCTCGGAATACATCAGAGGTAAAGTTTGACTTGTTGAAACTGGAACTGGAACTGCAAAAAAGTAATATGAATCATCAATCTTTGGATCTGAAACTGAGATTATCAAAATTTCTTTGAGTCACGAAGCTCAATGATAATGAATCTTGAAGTTCAAAACAATTATGGAAATTACGATGCCCACACTATTTGCCCTCCAAACAAAAAAAAAAGCTGGATTCAACCATATTTAAAGATAAAATTCCTAATTTCCATGCGATTTAGAAATTAAAATAATCAGCCTACCGTCTCTATCATTTGCAGTTAAACGAACACTCTGGGAACGTTGAACTGGTCGAACGTTGCAGAACATTTGCGAAGCCATTTTTGACTGGAATTGAGTGCGCCCTTGGTAACGAAATCTAGTCGAACTCCAACGGAACAAGCCTTTATGCGGTTTTTCCTCCGGCTGGATCAATCTGTAATTTTTATAACCTTAAGAGTTTATACAGCAGTGGTTGGACTTACCATGTGTCATGTTTTTCTAATGAAAGTTTTTAATTTAATCAGTAAGTTATCCTAAATCATAGACGGTAGTTAAGCAGTTTAACTTGCAAAATATCTTTGCATAAAAACAATACTGCAGGAATTATAGTATTTCTGACAACAACAAATATACACCGAAATGGGAAATTAAATCGTATATTAATAACGATTATTTCATACGCAAACAAAGAGATAATTAAATGGATAAGTGAACCTGAAGAATGTATGGTGCTCAACGCCACATTTCCAAACTCGTTTTGCTCCTTCATAATCCGATAATTTGAAAGCAACTGTCGATTCGTTTTTCTCAAGCTGGGAAAAAGCTTACAATTGATTCGAATAACTTCAAATAACTTTTTGATTTTTACGAAAAAATTCAAGCTTTTATTTCCTTCTTCCTATTAAAGAAAATACCGCAGAACTCACTTCACCAGGTTTAACTTTGATCATAAAAACATTGCGTCGATAACCAATTTTGATGATGTTTTGCCAAAGAAAACGATGCACACGGATCTGATCAAGATATATATTGATCCCATGAGCACTGATGCCAATCTGAACAGGCGTACCTTTTCCATCCTAAAAACATAAAAAATTTTACTATTATTCACAAACATGAATGACCATATCTGAAGTATCATTTATTATAACCCCTCCACAAATGCTATTTCATAACACCCGAGCTTCTTATCTTTACTTTTCCAAATTTCAAAGCACAACTTGCAAAGATGATAAAAAAAATTATATGGAATGGGAAAGTCGGGTACATTCCATTTCTGATTCTCTCAACATGGATTGTTCACTAAACATTAAGCATCAATTTATAAGTTATGGTAGCCTAAAACTTCTAATTCTATATTCATTTCATGTCTCCTCCCGTTCAAAAAAGAAGAAAACGAATAGAAATTTCATAAATATTTTTTCTTGAAAATAACAAAGCAACTGCATTACTCAAACCTTCGCATTGAAGAGGTGAACGCCATACATACTAAGCTTCTTGGCATTTTCCAAATAATGTAAGTCGGCTTCAGCAGATGTCTCACCTCTGTAAATTTTTTGTTACTGAAAACCCAACGAAATAAAATTATCTTATCAATTATTTGAAATTCTTATATTATTTCTTGAACATTCTCATAAGTATTAATTTTACTGGTAGCAAATAATTTTAGCTGTTGATGCATGTATTGCCTCAAATTTTGGCAACAAATATTTTTGCTGGAAAATTATTTGGAAAGGTACTGAATTATGATACATCATGCTAGGAAATGCATTGTTCTAACGTATAAATAAAAAGTAGAACGTTTACTTGTGATGTTTGTGCAGTTCTTCAATTTTTTCGTAAAGTGTTTCATTTGGCATTGGAGCCAAATTGCAACTTCTGAGAAAATCGATATATTGTAAGGAGGGCTCGTAATCACCTAGCACAGATTGCGCGACGTATGAACCCAGTAAAGCATGTGTAGCAAGGGTTGCTGGAAGTCTGGAAATGCATTATAATTTGGAAAAATCTCTAAATTCAACAAAAAGTTGGCAAATTAACAAAGAGAAAAATAAAAAAAAATCAGTAACAAAAAATTTATGCAAAAAACAATGAACTACATAAGTGAAGTTTTTAAAGGACTAACCTGCCAGTGGAAATATCTTGCCGAACCTGCAAGCTTAAAAGATGACGCGTTTTGTCCCCAGCCAATGTTGCCGGTTCTGTTGGATAAAATTTCACTTGAAAATTGAAATTCCACGGATTACCTGGAAAAAATTTGAGATCGTAGATATGTTTTCCAAAGATCGTAAATTTAATGTGTGACAAAGCAGAGCACTTAATTTCGTGTCATACTCGACCTTTATCTCGATTAGGGTAATGTATACGATAACGAATAATCTTGCGAGTCCATATTTAATCCATTACGATCATCTATGGTTAAATAAAAGATGTTCAACTGGAAAATGTTTAATGCTCAATTGGGAATAACTTGAATCTTGAAGCAAGAAATTGAAATTAATTCTAATACAAATAAAGAATGAAGCGAATTAGGAATTAAGAGATAAAGGAGAAGAAAAAAGAGGAAAACTATACTATCTGTGCATTTATCATAGTTCACCTGGAAATGGAACTAAGTGTCTCGCACTTCGGGTCTTAATTTTAAGCATACGAGAATAAATGTGCTTCAATTTATGAATATTATATGATTAAAACGTCATCTTTGTGATATTTGAACAATATTACAACTTTATTAGAATCTTCATTGCGTCAAACTTCTAGAATCTTTGAATATGATATTATTTTACTATTTCAAGAACCTTTAGTTATTTTTTCCAATTATCGAAAAGAACATATCAAACAAAATCAGTGCAACATAAAAAGAAATTGGGGACACAAAATCAATAACTATATTGTAAATCAACCTATGAGAAGGCAGTTAGGAATATCGCTTTTAAACTGGCTAAAAGAAAAAGAAAAGTTTCGGTCAAGAAACGTTCCCAAATTTGCGTTTTTCATAGACGAAAATTAACAAATCGAATACCATGGAGATTTAAGAGAAATTTTTTAATTAGTAAAAATGAAAAAAATTTCTTCATTGCAAATCCGTGAAGTTCTATTCTTCAGTATAGTTTAATTGCTATTGTAGTGATATTGCAGAGTAAGAAAATAAAAACAATAAACTTAAGAAGACTAAGCTACAAGTAAATTCCTTGATTTATAAACCATGTCAATCATGGAATTGCTTATTCATCATTTAAATGTGTAATACCTTTCAGCTGCTTTGAAATTCGCTTGTCTTCATAGATCCACTGCTGAAAAATGTCAAGATCGAGTACATAAATTAGAAGGGATGATAAACTTACAAAACTAATATGTTACAAAAAAATTTTGAAAATGGTAGGATTTCAACAAATCACATGTCTATTTGCATGCAATTAGAATACTTAATCGGTCAAAATCAATATATGAGTTATCATCCTGTTTACTGCTTTAAAACAAATAAAGGTCGTGTACTAATTGCGTAACAGAAAAAGATGATACTATAATTCTCACCTACTATTAATTGACGGTAATAAAAATGCTAGAAAACTGAAAGATTAATTTCAATATCTGACTTTTTCTGAAGATTTAAACTGCACTACTTTTGGTCATCATATTAACGAAAAATTAATCAAAAAAACATGCCACACTTATTTCAGGAGATGATGAAAGGACTTACTTGATTACCATCGCTATCGATGAAACATAATCCGAAGTAATCTTTTTCAATGAGACCGAGAAACGCGCACACTTTATCAAACAACTCACCTCCATCAGCTTTTTTCTAAAAAAAAACAAAACTAATTCGAGTAAATCATTATCAAAATTTTAAAAATATTTCGGAAAGTAAATTGCATTTTATTAGCCTGCTTATCCGATGATATATCCATGCCGTAGTATTGAAAACTTTTCCAAGTTTTAGAAATCTCAGATTTATAAAAAATTCTAAAATTCTCTACTACGCTAAAAATGGAATAGACGAAGAACTCAGCATCACACATTGTAATCTATCTGGCTTTGGTACTTGAGAAACAAATGCAATAAAAATTTATGACATTGCATAACTTGATACTCCTTACGAATGACAATTAAATGCAAACAAAAAATGGAACTGATATACTACTACAAAAAAATCAATTCTCAACAAGTAAAACAAAATCAGAAAAACGCGACAGATTTTAACAAAAAAGAGAAAGAGCAACAATAGTACATCAAATAGCAATCTAGAAGAACGTCAAGGATCAAAAAAATAATGAGGAAAAGGAATTGATTTATTAAACATACTACTACTAATGCTTTAAACTGTGATACTTAAAATTGCTGAAATTTTTAACGGATAAATCGTATGTTATTTTAAACAGATAATTTTAGTTATAAAATAACTTTAAATTATCAAAAGAATGACTAACCGATACATAGAAGATATGCTTGGTGGAATCGAGAAATTTTACCGTTGCTGGTTGTTGTTGATCCATCGTTTGCTGAATATTATCAATTTCACCTTCTGATTCTCTTATACCATTAATTCTGCAAAAAGCAAGAAAAAAAGTATCTAATGACTTATTTTCAAATATACAGGTAGACAAACTTTTCATTTGGAAAAAAAGAAACGAAAGAAAAGAGAGATCAAAGGGAAAGCGACATACGATATTGGCAGAGACCGTTCAATCATTTTAAATGTCAGAGGTATATGTTTATAATGGATTCAAAATGAAATTTACAACACGTCATAATTAATTACCATTATCGAATAATATCAACAAGACTATCTAATCATTAAGGCATCATCGTTTTTGATGCCAAGCGGAGCGTTTATCACCTCAGAAAAACGATGAAACAAAACAGTTTTATAAAAATAGAATAATAACTACCTCAAAGAAGATAGAACTAGAAAGATGGAATGTGTTAAAGTAAAAATTTGCTTACGTTCAAATAACATAAGTTTAAAAAATGGGCAGAAAGAAAAAATCTAGCGCAATCGAACTTGTCAATATTTTCAAATTCTGAAATAGTTCAACAAATGTTCTCAAAAAATGAGAAAATAACAATATCAAATTAATTTATTTACTTAATAAGTTCGCAACGATAGTCTCTAATTTCCATAAACATTAATTAAATTAAAAAACAAAGAAAACAAAGAAAAAAAACTGAGGTTTAGAGCTAAAATATTTCGTCAAAGAAGTATAACACATGACCTGTCCTCTTTTAATCAAAAAATCTTTTATATACTTCCAAAAATTTTCGAGTAGAAAAGAAAGCAGAAAAGATGAAAATAAAGTTTAAATGAAATTTATGCATCAAACGCAGTTGACAGATGAAGAATATCATATGAACGAGAGAGAGAGAGAGAGAGAGAAAAAGCGGCGTTCGATTTGTTCTTTATCAAAAAAAAGAGAAGTACTGAGTGGTACTTAATGGAAAATATTAATGTCTGTCAAGAAGGACATTGAAATTGGTGCGATGCTTACCAGAACAATCTAAATCCATAACGAGTTATCTTTATCAAGAAGAATCATAATAATTCGGGTAAGATGTTCATCAGAAAGAAATAAAGAACTATCAAAAAAGACATAATTATTCAAATTTGCAAAATTGTAAAACTGAAGCAATATTTGAACATTCTTAGATGATAATAAACATAACTGTTATCCATCCTATCAATAATCTAATCATATATTTTATACATTTATCATAAAAAAGTACGATTTTAATTAAATTAAAAAAAGACATTTCTACTTTCTAAAAAGAAATATCACATAAAAATCATACCTTTTTTTCTTTTCCTCACTCTCTCTTCTAAATTAACAAAAGTTTTTAAAATTTTATGCAAAAAAAAAAAAGGAAGTTAAAATTAGAATAAATTTCTAACGAATTCTTCGTATAGCTGATTTAGAATTTCATTCAGAATTTCTAAGCAACAGTGATGGCGGTAATGATGGTGGTAGTGGTAGTTATATTTTGTTCATATTAGACAATGTGAAAATTTTCCTTAAAAAAAGAAAACCTATTTGAAATTACTCATTCGTATGAGTAAGCATCATTATGCTACTTGTATTTTATTCATTCATACAGATACGAATTATTAAATTTCCCATAATTTATTTGTCATATAGAAATGAATTAATTACTAGCATGCTGCTACCACCTACCCGAATACCTGTGTATACATATACATTGCAATCACAAATATACTGAGAATGTTTACCTGAAAATGATGGATAAATATGAAGAGCGAAAGTCTAGAGATTAAAACAACATAAAGATATAAAATATAACGAGAGAAGAAGTGAAAAGTAAACGAGAAAAAAAAAAACATGCTAGCAAAAAGATACAAACGAAAAGAAATAGAGTAAAGAAAAGCTTTGATTGTATATATTTTAACATAGAAAACAAGAGACGAAAAAGTGAATCAAAAATGTCCACAAACATACGTACTAAATACGCCCTCTAACTCAATCGATAACAGTGCAGCACCTGATGCTACTGCTCGTATGCATGGTGCATTTGCAAGGCTTTTTATGCAAATATGACAATGAGGCAAAAATGTGTACATACATGTATATATCCATGTATGCATGCACACGTGCAGTACATGAACGTAATGCACGTATACATACATATATGTATATATACGATACATACGTATAAATACGACGTGACAACATACAAATGTATATACATGTATATATCCATATATGCATGCACACGTGCAGTACATGAACGTAATGCACGTATACATACATATATGTATATATACGATACATACGTATAAATACGACGTGACAACATACAAATGTATATACATGTATATATCCATATATGCATGCACATGTGCAGTACATGAACGTAATGCACGTATACATACATATATGTATATATACGATACATACGTATAAATACGACGTGACAACATACAAATGTATATACATGTATATATCCATATATGCATGCACACGTGCAGTACATGAACGTAATGCACGTATACATACATATATGTATATATACATGATACATACGTATAAATACAACGTGACAACATACATTGATGGTTCAAAAAAACTAAAATGTTGCATGCAACGATATTTTCGTATCTTAATGTAAACATAAACAGTCTTCCGAAGGAGTTACATCACGTTTTGCATCCCTCATTACTCATTACATTATTTTGTAGATTGCATTCTATGCATGTCATTATTTATACATCATATAGGTTATATATTACACACGTCATTAGTCATATATTATACTACATAGCTATCATTTAGTACTGTAAAATGAATTCAATTTATTTGCCTACTATTCAAATATCCAAATATAAATATGATGTGATCATTTTTATTGACATATTTAAAAATATAATTAATTAATGTAAATTTTTGACAAAAAAAGGAGGAACACTGTTAGAATTATTTTAGCTCTAATAAAAAAATTCGTTCATTTCAATTTTAAACTAAACAAAATCAAATGTTTATTATATTTGATGATATTTATGAAGAGAGATAGATGAGAATCATTACGAATATTTCATGTAAGCAAAAATCATTTCCATGATTTTCTCATTTTCTCCTCGTGATATTAAGATATTTATAAATGACTTGTTAATTGGTTGATCAATTTGCAATTAATTTTGTGAAAAATTTAGCTAAGAGTACTTAATTGATATGTTGAAGAATACTTCAAAAAGTTCTTGAGAGAATAAGAAATGATGCATTCGATCGATTATTCTATTCTATTAGATTATTTTATTAAATCTATAAATTATGAAATCAATAATTGTTTAAATTTAATAAATTTGTAAATAAATAAAAATGACGATAAGATGATAAATGATAAATGATAAATGATAAATATGTATACATCACATTTAAACAAAATGAATGATGAGGAATGATAAATGGAGCAAATTATATTCAAATGAACTAAATTTATTGCAATTTAAGCAAAAGATCTTTTCAAATTTTATTTTAACTATAAGAAAATGTTTCATTTCTAATAATCTCTTAATTAAATTAAATATACTAATTAATTTTATGACTTAGAAATCAATGAATAATATATTTTTCAAATGTTTCACATGTAATAATCTCTTAATTAAATTAAATATGCTAATCAATTTTGTAACTTATCGATACTATTTACGTGATATATTATATTTGAATAATTCAATGAAATGATATTTAATTATTTAATTAATCAAAAACTTTAGCATCTGTATTTTTTATAGGATAATTGTTGATCGAATTTAAATAAGAGAATAAAGAGAAAACTTTAATTTAAAATAGATTGGAACTATTAGAAAATAAATATAATTAAGTTTTGAAGTTTCTCTTCTCTTTTAAAAAAACTAATGATGTCTTTTTAAAGTATAATGATTGGAAGTATATATAGTCCATTTAAAGTGAAATGGATAAATTGGTAAGATATACACACAGGAATGATAGATAAGATAGATAGATAGATAGATGATGAAATCGATGTGGTAAGTAGGCGAAGATACTACTGAAAAGATAGGAAAAAAATAAACGTCGTTTTATGAAGAGTTTAGTTAAAAGAGAGGGGAGGACGATTTGCGCATAATAAATATTTGTGTGGAGAAAATGAATGTAATAGGGATGTGTGTAGGAGAGAGGTTTTTAACGACCTTCAAACAAACAACTGAAAAGCTATTGTTTACGGTGAAGATGATAATGGATTTGGTGGTGGTAGTAGTAGTAGTAGCAGTAGTAGTGGTAGAGAGGAGATATTGACAGTTGGCATTAGAGATAATTTTTGTAATTTCAAATTGTCCATTTGAATTATCCATAATAGAAATGATGTTATATTGTAAAGCAATCATCAATTGATTATGAGTGATAATTTCAATCTTTTAAACAATTATCAATTAATTAGAGATATTATCATCTATCATCTATTTATCTATATTTATCTATATCATCTATCATCTATTAATATA